ACCTATTTGCTGTTGATCTCCCCTGATGAGTCTGTAGGCAGCCACCAGGTCCTCCCTCAGCCTCCTCTTGCTGAGGCTGAACAGGTTCAGGTCCCTCAGTCTCTCCTCATAGGGCCTGTCCTGCTGCCCTCTCACCAAGCAGGTGGCCCTCCTCTGCCCCCTCTCCAGGTTGGCCACATCCCTCTTGAAGTGCAGCGCCCAGTACTGGATGCAATATTCCAACTACAGCCTAACCAAAGTCACATAGAGGAGGAGTATCACCTCTGAACCAGCTTGAGATGCATCTTTGGATGCATGACAAGGTATGGCTGGCCTTGCTGGCTGCAGTCTGGCATTGGCGACTTGTGTTCATCTTGGAGTCAATAATGACTCCACATTCCTGTTCTACCTCTGTGCTTTCAAAAGCGGAACTCCCCAGCCTATATGTATGCTGTGGATTCCTTCTCCCAAAGTGCAGCAGCCTGCATTTGTCTACATTGAACCCCATCCTATTCTCATCTGCCCACTTTTGTAGTCTGTCTAAATCTATTTGCAGCCTCTCTCTCCTTTCAAGTGTGTCCACCTCTTCTTATCAGTCAATTAGCATACATACACAAGTTACATTTAGATCAGTCTAACTAGGGTTAGAGCAATCTAAATGCCCATCTGTGCAGAAATTCAAGGAGTTAAGTCAGGCAAAAAATGGGGGCCCAAACTAAGTTAGCTGATCTCTTCAGGAGGTTAACTACTTAGACTGTGATTGGGTTAATGTGATTTATTGAACACTTGTATGTATTCAGAGCATAGCCCAGGGCTGGGAAAACCCAGCTGCTCACTCAAGGCAGAGCTCTTCCTGACTGAACTATTCCTCCCCCTGTTCCTGGATGGACACCCACCCCATGGACCCACCAACCCTTACTCCCTCAGACCCACCAGCCCCCCGATCCTGTCCACCCCTCCCCCCACCCTGAGTTACTCACCCTAGTTTCCACACAGCTCCAGGAACGAGCAAACAATTGTACCTGCCATGCCTGATCTACATTCACACAGTTTAAAGTACGCTGTGTGAAACTAGACTAGATGCAGCAAACACCTGTATGCAGCCTAGAAGGTTTACAATTCCTTAAGGTTAAGAACAGACAATCAAAAAACTGGAGGCTGAATTGATTCAATCTTCACAGGTTAGTCTAAACTGTGCAGATTGAACCAATAAGCAAGTGAACAGACTTTCATTTTTGATTCCAGAAATGCAGCCATATTCATGCACTGTCCAAGGCCAGAATCCAGAGATGCTAGAGCATGCCTCCCTGCTCTGCTGGAGCAGACAGTTTGGGGCAAGACTAGCCCACCAGCCCTAAGAGGGTGGATTTGCAGGGAAGGTGCAAAATATCCTGGGATGATGGGAGACTGTGAGTTGACTTGAATCTGGATGGGATCTTGGACAGAAGCTGAATAAACCAATTTAACTTAAATCAGTGAATTCTGATACTATATCCATCCAGGTTCATCTTAAACTCGTTTCAGCCATTTTGAAAGTGGTTTTTGTGCACTGAACTTCTTTTGTGTTATAGATTTGAACCAGTTTCTAATCACTTACGCCAGTGTGCGTCATTTCTGTCCCTAGCCAAAGAGGGAGAGGATATCATGCAAAAGGAGCCATTAGTCTGTCCTGTTTCTTATTCCTGATTTATTTTATACTGTATTATTTGTATATGTGTGTATCTAATAACATTTTGTATACAAATTTCAGTCAGGTGGCCAATCTTTTAAGCCCAATAATGGACATTTACAAAGGAAACATTCTGCTACCCCTGTGGTATTCCTCGACTTATAGGCCCCAAATCTACATTTTTCAATGCACCCATACAGTGATGGCCCTAAAAAGAGCTCCAGTGACTTCAAAGAACAGCTCTGCATGGGCCCTGCAGTCCCACCTGTGCATTACAAATTGCAAACGGTGGGTCATTAGATTTTTATGACATAAAGGTATACTACGATTATCAAGTATAACCCAAGTGATAGAATTTCATGCCAGTAGAATTACCAGCCATAAATTAAACAGGACATAAACAAAGGCAAAATAGTGTCCGAATAGTCTATTAGACGCTTTAATAAGCCAGAGTAAGCTCTTCCCAGATGTACCAACTTGAGGTGGGGAGAATGAGGAGATAGGGGTATACTTGAGCATTACAGTATGAGGAGATAACTGCAGACCAAGACCTATTCATAAAGTTAGAATCACAATTGATGCTTTCAGTTTTGCCATAATCCATATTTATTTTAATGAAGTATCATTAGTAATGTAGTATCTCTCAACACTATTAATTTTATATTACAAAAAATTGTTTCACCATCTAAAAAATGGCATCGCCTCACTGCAATGAAGATTAAAATGATAATAAGCATACAATAACATCAAACCTCACAGCATGTTCTCTGTATCACAGCAGTATTCTGAATCTCTAAATATATTTTTCTGTTAATGTCAAACAAGCAAAGCTTCTGCACTGGAGAAAATCCATTACATACATACATTATTATATAGAAATAAAAAAGACTGTTAGATGTCTATCCTAAAATGGCAGAGTAGAGAAGGGTGGATGTTTTTAGGTTTATTGCTTAGATACAGGTTTAGTTGTAGACTTTTAAAACATTTTTATAAAGGGAAAGATGATTTGAAACAGTCTGACCCTCACCATCCTTTTAAAAGAATATCAACATTAGACAAGGCAGAGAAATGCCAGTTCTAAAAACAGTCAAAACTACATCAATTCAGTTGGACAAAAAGCTGAAGTTATTAGTAATACCTTTTCTACTACTCATAGATGCCCCAAATTTCTATGCCAGACATACCTCCGTGTCCCTTTTCACCTATGCTATATTACCTTAACACATTGTGGTAACACACTGGAAAACCAAAAAAAAAAGGTTAGGTTCTGTACAAAGACAGATGAAAGACGTTTTAGAGGGAGGTCTTGTAATATCAGTAACTCAACAATGACTGGACACAAACTCACATCCAACAAAATATTACTGTCTCCCTTTCATGCTGGCTGGTAAGAAGCCTATCTAGATGAATCAGAGATCTGGTTACAAGAGAGCAGTACCATTATATAATATTAATTTGGAAGGACAAACATGGCAAAGGACACAGAATATTTCTGACTAGCACAAATCAAGCACTAATTCTAAGGCTGGAAGTAGACATCACCCTTGTGCCTACATAAACATTTTTATGATGGCACAGATGTCAAACAAACAGAAGTTCATGACCCTTGTCACACCACAAATGCCCAAATTTGTTGCTTCAACAAAGGCAATATGTATTTGTGCTGCTATTTTGTTGCACACATCTGTTTGCTTTAAGGTGGGTTTCCCCATTTGTAGAGACCTGTTCCTGGGAAATCCAACTTGGAGCATATCTCTGCAAATAGGAAAACCCGGGGTTCTTGTCACCCCATTTTCATGGGCTTGCCCTGAGTGTTGCCTGCGAGTGACAGAGAACCAACCTTACACGACAAAAGGTAAGGTCGGTTTTGCCCACTGAAGCAAATCAGCTGAGCTGAGACGCACCCCAGAGACATTTGTCAACATCAGTTTAAACCCTAATCCAGTGATGATCAACCTCTGGTCTATGGGCCAAATGCAGCCCACCAAGCCATTGCATCTGGCTCCACGAGGCTCCCTATGGAGCAGAAAATTTGGCAGTGGGGGAACAGTGGCCATTAAAATGGCCACCCTCCCTCCACCAAATTCCTAAACACCTAGCCCTGCACTGCTGGTTGCAGCCGGCCCACAGCCACTCCCCCTCATCTGGATCAGGACACTTAACCCCTCCCCACCCAGTGGATCCAGTTTTGGAACAGGCCAAGTTCCTTCCCCCACAGTGCCAAGCCACATTCCCTTTGCTCATGGAGCACATGCCCTCCCCCAACAGGGCTGGGCTGGGTCACACCCTTGCCCCAATGGGAACAATTTGGAGACAGACCATACCCCCCCCCTCCCCATGGAGCTGGGCCATGTCTCTTCCCATCAGAGGGCTGGGTTGGGCCTAGGTCATGCCCCCTACCCCCACTTCAGGTCAGGCCATGTCCCCTTTTTATCCGCCGGGCCAACTCACACCTGGGCCACTCCCCATTTTCCTATGGGGCTAGGTTGCAGATGGACTGCCTCCCTCTCACCCCATCCACATAGCCAGATGTTACCACACCCATCTTGGTGCCATGTTATGACCACGAGCATGATCCAGCCTATGGACAAACAGGGCACTGCCCAACCTGCCTGCCCATGGGAGGCAGGGGGGAGGGGTTGAGCACCGTTACCCTAGTGGATTAGGATATCCAGTGGGCTCATGTGTTTCTGATTAAACAGAGTCCTGCTATAGAAACTGGAAGTCCAGAAAGCAGATAACCTCTAACACTGCTAAACCTAACAGAAATTCTTCTTCACTCAAGTGATACAGAAATGTGGTTTTAGTGCAAAAGGTTTCAAATTCCATCCCAGATGACCAATACACGAGTCAGCTAATGACTATGATACTGGTATTCATGCAGCCACTGCCTCGGTACACTTGAAAGTCCCATCAGATTTAGTTCATTAACTAGTTTGAGTTTCTGATGCATAAATTCAAGACATCTATTGCACTTGCAGAACATAAGTATTGCAAAAAAAACATCAACTTCCACTAAAGAGAGATATAACAGGAGCTTTCCCTTAATGAGTAACATGAGTGTAACTGTCAACCCTCCCCCACCCCTTCCAAATATGTAAAACAAGATCAAAGATGGCAAGTTACTGTAAATAAGATTCATTTGCCTCTGGCATACGACTTGAGAGACCTTGCTTATGCTAGAAAGACCAATGCTTGAAGAAAATTCTACAGCATAGTTTTAAAACAATGATGCTTAGACGCAAGTTTTAGCTTCATCTCCAACAGCAGCTAAAACCTGTATCAAAGAGTAACAATGCTAAACCAAAACTGGAAGTGATTTCAAAACATAGATAATTGTTTAAACCCAGAGAGGGCCATATGGCTAATGAATGAAAATTATGGCAACAAACACATTTTTAAAGATATTTAAATATGAGGATGCAAGCAAAATAGCAATGTTTTTCTTTAAATGAATAATACATACCTTGGTTGTAATATTCACAATCATAAGCTGAAAGAAAACAAAATGGGTACAATAGTATTAAATGGTATTAGCTAAATCCACATCTGTCAGCAACCCTGAGACACCAATAAGACAAGGTCACAGTATCATAATTCAATTTGATCAAAGAAAGTTTTCATTTCCTTAAGGTATTTCATTTAGTGACTCTGTTTTTCTAGAATTTCATTAATAGACACACATCTGTCTTTAGTTTGACATGTTGTAAATGCTTAAGAAATTTGTATACCCTGCTCTTTAAAACACTCGAGTACTGTGACCATAACAGTTTTTC